CTTCTCTCCATGGCCTCCAAATTGCTTGCCTCTGTCATCCTTCACAGACTGACTGGCGCTCATGAAACCCAGATTCGTGAAGAGAAAGCCGGGTTTCATCGAGGTCGTGGCTGCTTTGACCACAGCTTCACCTTGCGTCAGTTGTTGAAGCACGGTCACATATATTGGCGGCCCACCATTGTCGTGTTCCACGATATCTAAAGAGCATTCGATTCGGTGGCTAGACGTTCACTTGGGGACTGTCTACTCAGAAAAGGTGTACCTGAGAAATACGTAAATATTATCTGAGCATTATACGCACATAGCTCAGGCAGAATTATGGCTTACGGTAAGCTGTCGTCGCCCTTTACTATCTCCAGCGGTGTGAGACAAGGATGCCCTCTATCACCTTTCCTCTTCAGCTCCTCTATTGACGAAGTCATGGGGGATTGCATTTACAGGACACGACTTATAAGGTGTGGATCTGTTCGCAGGAGAACGACTTCTTAATTTGGAGTATGCTGATGACATTGCCTAATCTGTGACAACTCCCAGACGTGCCAAGCGGAACTGGACAGATTAGATTTGGCTGTCCGTCACTTCGGGCTTTGCTATGCATCATGGAATTGCAAAGCGTTCCTCCAAGATTGGTCTGGACCGCCTCATACGCTGAGCCTTGGTGGGGATTAACTAGAGGTCGTTCAAAAATTCAACTACCTGGGAACTTGTATTAGCGCCCGTGGGATTGAAGATGAGATCACGAACCATATAGCAAAAGCTCGAAGCGCTTTTGCTAACCTTCGCCGTTTATGGCGCCGGCGTAACCTCACTCTCGCCCAGAAGGGTAGAGTGTACAATGCAGCGGTACGTTTGACTCTGCTTTACGGTTGTGAAACCTGGCCGTTTAAAGTAGTGGACCTAAAGGGGCTTGTTACGTTCGACAACCGGTGCCTTCGCAAATTAGCTCACATCTGGTGGGAACACCGCGTGAGCAACGAGCGTGTTCGACGCCTTGTTTAGGATCCAGGAAATGGAGAAGACCCGCTCAGCAAGTTTATTTCACGCACCAGGCTCCAATGGCTCAGCCACGTGTTACGCATGCCAGCCCACGGACTCCCGGGACGTGCGTTGTTTTCTCGCCGGGGATATGGATAAAATAAGGGGAGAGGTGGCCAAGCGATGACTTGGTCGAGAGGAATGAAGGCCCTGACTTCGGAGTTGGTCTCGGTTGGAGCGTCTCGGCTCACTGGTTGCGGTCCGAAAGACGATGAACACGTTTGACTGGATACACTTACTGATATGGCTAGGAGCCGACATCAGTGGCGTACGTGACGTAAGTCTCTTTGTCCTACACCATCCCTCTTAGTCTCCCCCTCCAAGCACGATTTCACGGTTTAGTCTCATATGCCGTTGCATAGTAATTTTTTATGCACAGCAGCCGGCTGGTAGCTTATCGGAACGATGCCCATCCGTTACCGGTAGCTCAGCCGGCTTGCACCAGTTGCATTTTTTCTCCTTTTTTCTTCTGTATATTGCGACACAGTAGCTGAGGTGTTTCCCACCTCTAGCTAACGTATATAATGATGATGATGAGTGAAAAAATAATGGGAAGCTGAGAGACACTTCTATTGAATTTCTAGGAGGTGACTCTAACAGGGAAATTGTGCACTGTAGTAAGGGCGAAAAACTTCTCGTCATTGTAAATGCCGTAGAAAGTATATTTGCTGGAATTATTTAGGAGAAAATAAGTTCAGCTGATGGATGTTGTCAACCGAGACCAAAGATACACGTCAATCAATGTGCGACAAAGTTGCGCAGCGAAAATGCGAAATCACTCAGCTCGCGAGTGGACGCTACCGTCAGCTGGTATTTGACAAGTAGTGATAAAAGAGTAAACCACTTGGTTTACTAATTCCGGCTCCATTGAACCAGAAAACAGAGCCTTAAATGAAAGGGTGCCTATCTAATTTAAGATATGGTAACGGTAGCTGACTAATGGACTAAGTTTCAACTAAATCTGCTCACAGAATATTATAAGGTTTCCAGCAAATTTAGCAAACTGTGCCTCTTACTGGCTTTTTACTCGAAATATGAGGCCTTCTTGTCTTAGTACTCGTAACTGCGAGAACAATTATGGTGGCGGCCGTTGGAGTCACAAAGGCTATCGTTTTCATCCACAAGTCTAGGTTGTTCCGGCTTTTGCACAATCAGTGTAAGGTATAGCCCATTGCACGAGATCTAATTTGGTCCAACTTTTAACTGATTTACCTCCTCGCTAATCTGGAAACATAGCGACCGTATGAATGTTTGCAGTTTGTCAAGGCACATGCTTGTGAAGAGTAAGCACTATACACGTCATTAAGCAACAAGTCAACGCTGCTGCCCTGAGCCATATTTGTAGCACTGCTCCGAGTTTTGAAACCGTTAGCGTTTAGTCGTAAATTTATTTTCAGTAAGAAACGGAGAAGGAAGCAGCCTATCCAGGATTTTGCTGGATGTACAGTGATGGTGTCTTTGAAGTGGCCTCAACAAGAGAAATATACGTATTATTATTATTCTGATTATTACTATTATATTTAAAGGAGAATGTGAAGTCTTGAAATAGCAACGAAAGACGAGCGATTTAAGATTGCCTGGTGGATGGGAGACCAAACTCGTAAATATCTGTCATCGTTGCTCACCGGTCATAAGACTCAGTAACTCAAATGTCCTCCGTAATCAAATGTTTAAGGGACCAACCGGTTTCCAGTCAGCCAGCTGAGACTCCATTTTCTGTCAAATAGCTCACAATTAGGAAAACTTTTGAGTGCTTGAAACAGTGTGGTATAAACTTTCTTTGACAGAACATGAATTTAAATGAGTATCATGGTTACACCAAATTTCGATCAAATATACACACGTAATGCCGCTAAATAGTTAATATAGCTGCTTGCGAAATAGGTATAAAAGCACTTACGTGGTGGCTGATACTGGGCTAGGTTGTAAAACACGCTACTAGTTTTGGAATGTTGCCGATATCTGCTGCGAGGTTCAGATGATTCGCAATTAAGTCTACTGGCCAACTACCGGTGACGGAATATCCGTCCCTACACGTGACCATTCAATGAATTATCTTTCCCTTCATAAAGGGGATTAATCCCAATACCCCCCCAATAATGCCCGAAATTCAACCCCCATGGCGAGCTATTGTCCACTTCCACCTCGTTAAAGTATTTAGTTTTCAAAGTCAGCTGCGATTTATCTTGGTCACATCATATAAACGTAACGTTCACAAAAGGTCGGAGATTAACGTTCTTCGCCTCACGCGTTCGAGCTTCCTCTGTTCCCCATGGTTTTATACTTCGCTTTGTCACTGTCTGTGTTCTTGCACACTGTACGCACTTCTCGGCTGTGGTTTTAACTGGTTTATTTGACACAAATTTCCGATTAATTTCTAGGTCGTTAAAACCCTTATGGCGATACAGCGGTGTATCAAACTGAGGTTTCTTGACATGCGTGTATCCGTTCATGTTGATTCTTGCAAGATACTAGTATCAACAATACTTGCCGACATAAGTCATCCCTTCATTGAATATTTCCAAAACGTTCGTCAACCTCGTCAAACAGACAAAGTAAAAATCCATATATGTCCGTACACGAGCGCTCTCACTCTTACCACCGAAGGCTGAAGTTGCTGGGAATTTTCAGCGGACGCTATCGAAGGCTGCGCGGTGATCTCATATTAGCATATCACATACTGAGTGACCCAAACCGCGTATACAGACATTTGCTGTAACTTAGCCACAACACGCAGCTCAGGGGTAACTGCTAAAAATTGAAGGAACTATATAGCTGTCTAGCGTGTCGATGGAATTACTCTTCCCTTCGGGTTTGCCAACCCTGGAACGCACTCCCAGACTCAGTTGTATCCTCTCCAACCGTGGACGTTTACATAAAATGATTAGATGTTGCTCTTAGCTTCCAGCATTTTGTTACCTAAACTCCTCTATTCTGGATTACGCCAAGCATGCTTTTCAACAGGATTTATGTATCAAATGGACTTAAGTGAGCGAGCATATTTTACTTTTCTCACTCCTTACATCAGCGATCACTGCACTCCAGTGTCTTTCTGAATGTTTACGTCCGATAATTTTTTAATTTTGCACTGATGTTACTTATCAACTTCTTCATCTTGGCAGACATTCGATAGATGACCCAGATATATTTTGATTTCATCAAATCCACCTCAAACATTCTACGGGATGTGTTAAGCACTTGCTTTTATCCCTTGATAAATTATTGTTCAGTGTTTGCCTAGCACGATTAGTGCTAGACCAAAACATAGTTTTTCATGAATAAACTAACCGGGTTATGCCATGATCCACTTAGGGCTACATATTCACTCGTTCGGCGCTTATAAAGCAATTTCTTGGCTTAACTTTTACTCTACTCGTAATGATATAAACCAACTGCACTGTTGCATACTGAATTACTGTGGCTGCCTGAAAGGTTGACTTATTCTGCTGACGGAGGCGGCATCATTTTCCGAAAATCCATAGAATCAAAGTACTTTTGACGAATGAGTGTGTATAAACAAGGTGGTTAGCAAGAGCCTAGTCACAAACGCTCACTGATAGGAAACAGTAGAGGTGGCAACTTCTGTGTTTAAGTTATTAACCTACCATTACATGTTGTTTGCTTTTTGGTCCCATAAGTTTAACAACTTTCGGTTCAATGCTTACAGGTTGCATTTTGTACAGCCGTGTCTCAAATAATTTAACTAACTTAACTAGTAACATTTTGATATTGATGTATAGATGCCAAAGTGCTCGATGATCAGTGGATTATCTCTTATACATCTTTGTACAGTGTCATCTATACTTACTGGTATGGTATCAGGTGATGATTGCGGAATAACGTGTAAGCTATCTTGGCATACGCACACCAGGTACCCCCTTTATACTAACGCACGTTCTATAACATGCTTTCATTACAACGAATAGAAGCATATACATTACCGTTTCATCATTTTACGCATTCAGGAGAAGAACCGATTGGAAAATTGCGTCACCGAGTCTCAAAGGAAACAACGAATGAATGAACTAGGGAACCGTGACATGCGTTCCCTTATTCTTCGTTTGGAAGAAGACAAAAAAAGACTAACGCAGAGAATTGAAAAGTTGACTGCGAACGGTAAGCGATTGAGTTTATGCAGATGAAAGTGTGACAGCCACCCAGTACTTCAAATCAAGTAAATTCAAAATGAGCTTAATGTGTACAGATGCACACATTTGCAAAATTTACAATGATAATTACTGAAGAGCTAAAATGATATCAACAAAAACATAAATTCGTGTGAATGGAAAAAGAACACCGTGTACATTTGTCACTAGAATAAGCGGTCGAGTATACGTAAGCAACAATTGCATCTTCCTGAGAAGAATAATCCGAATTTGCTTTGTGTTGAGAGGACAAAGCCGAAAGGCCTGTTTTCCAACCTTGGAGACCTTTATTGATAACGAATCGCGCTGAATGCGCAGTATCTTAAGAATTTTTAAAGAAGGATAGCAATGACTACCTTTGAATTGGCGTAGCCCATGACAATGCCAGCAACTTCAGAGATAACGTATGTATTCGCAGCAGATATTGTATAACCGTTTTCCTGTGTAAAAAAGCAAGTGCTTGTTTAAACGCGCTACCATGAAAGGAACGAAACTGTGCTTCACGTAAGACGAAGTGACTAAAGCGTATAATAGAATGGAATGAATTTATCTTATTTTTGCCAGGTTGCAACAAAAATGTATCATACCATGCTTTTGCTATTCTGGTATAGCAATCAATCTTGTCAGCTTCACTCACAGCCTCTGAAAGTAACTGATTATTGTTCAGGCCACCAAAACTCTTAACCACCGGAGAACTCCACAGAGCTTCTCGGAGTTCGAGCTGGAACAACGTCTTCACCGTTATACAGTTAAATACTGGCGTGAGGATTACTGGCCTAACATCTTGTAACAAATGATAGGCAACCTAATCTGAAGTGGATCGTTAAACAGAGCTACCAAGCAAGGTATCTGTATGTTCAGTGAGGTGCGAATAATTGCTCCGTTCTTCGAGATGTGCGATTCTATGCTAGAACCTCGTTCTCCGTTAAAGTGCCCTTCTCGCTATTTGGTGATAAATTTGTCTTGGTTGAGAAACCGGAGTAGTAGAGATCAAATTGTTAGCATTTGTGGTAGTAGTAGAAGTAGTAGTAGCAGCACTAGCGGTAGCTAGAATAGTAGCAGTGGTAGCTGCGGTAGCAACAACTGGGGTAGCGGTTGCAGTAGTGGCAACAGCTTGAGTAGCATTGTCTGTATGTGCAGTGCTAGCTTGGCTAGCAGTTTTAGTACTAGCCGCGTTAATAGTATTTTAGTAGCGGCGGCAGGTTTTACTAATATTGGTAGCGTTCGTAATAATCTTAGTCCCAATGTAGTGGTAGTACTGTTGATGAAGCAGTAATATTGGTAGCAGCATTATTACTAGTACTAGTAGTAGTACTGCTAGTAGTAGCGGTTATACCAGAAGTTGCCGCTAATTTGTTAGTATTCCTAGTAGCAGCAGTAGCAGTATTCGTAGTAATAGTAATAGTTGTAGCATTTGTCAGACTTTTGTTTGTGTTTGTAGTAGTATTGTTGGTTGATCATAGACCTGCTTCTTTGGACGCTCCAAGCAACGTTCGCATATTATCGTACCCATGCGTCGAGGGGACAATTATGTAGTTCGAACTGATTACACTACTGCGATGTCTAGCCGCTGAGGAGACGATATACGGAAACCTGCCAGCCGAGTGATTCGTTCTCGTAAGACGAAGTGAGACTCGTGAAAGCGCCAGGAAGATAGTGAGACGAAAGCCATGCATTTTGTAAGAGCGCTTACACTGACACAGAAAAAGGGGACAAAGCTGGTGGTACTCTCTTATTTATGGCACAATTGAATCTTCACGCCGAATTTGGGTTTTGGCGAGACAGGTATGCTCACGAAAACCCGCTACGTTGTTTTTTGAAATTCGCGCAGTCACAAAACGAGTGCCTAGCCGTGTAGCCTCTTAATTGTTCATGAGACTACTGGACTCTGTGCTACGACACGCTATTTATGCCACATCACTTGACGTTCTTGCAACAAGGTGGTAATAGCTATATTAGTAGCAGTAGTCCTGGTAGCAGTAGAAGCGGTAGTTGTGGTGGCGGTAGTAAGTGCAATTTTGGTCGTAGCACTAGTGATGTCAACAGTGATTCCACTTTAGTTGAGTTCACATGGGTTGTCGCAGCAATATAATTAGTGATAATGATACCAGTAGAAGCAGTATTCATGCGAATGGTAGTGAACAATGAACTATGCTTTATCACGAGTAAAACACATGTGCTTGACAAGTCCCGTAGGACGGTTAGAGTGAAAATTAAAACTGCAAGAAGCAACAAATAAGCAAATAGTCATGTTAACAGTCTATACATTTAAATGCAATACTGCAAAACGACCGTTTGAACTGGGGGTTGGACGTGCGCACAGAATATATTAGAAAGGACCGTTATAGTTCAGTAAATACGTGAGAAAGAAAATGAAAGACGACGACGTTCACCCTTGTGTTGGTTCATTTGACAGATGTGGCAGGTTCGGCCATTTTAGATACATACATGCCACTCCCAAGGACAATTCTGCATGTATCTTCACTGCCACGTTGCGGAGAGGGCTATTAAGCACATGGTTAGGTTTGCGTTGTTTCGTCCTCTAAGTGGAACGGACTATATCAAGTAATGGAATTTTCAAAGCTTTTCATTAAGACGTTTTTTGAAAAGCGTTAATGTAGGGGCAAGGATAACGTGAGTCGCAAGGGCATTTCAGGCACGAGACACACGGAGGGAGAAAACCTTTCGTCGCCAATCAAGCCGACTGTAATGCCTAGCCAGTTTGAACTGATGGCCTCTCAGGTTGGTATTTTGGGTCAGCTGCAAAATATTGCGACGGGTGAATTTGGTTCGTCAGTATTAAGTAAACCCTGATGAGATTTCCCCGCTGAAATAAATATTCACCACTGTACAATCTCAGGGATTGTAGTCTACGCTTGTAGGGATATGAAACAATCATCTAACGTGTTGGTTGCTCTACGTTATGGCGCATTCAGTGCAGTGACATCGCGCTTGCGCCCGCGACGCAGGCCCTGGATTTCATATTCAACATGAGGCCTAACGCAAGCGTTCAGAATTTGCGAAAAAATGAATGGCTATAAATTTTATTAAGCCATTCCTAAGTGTCAAGTAGTTGACAAAGGCTTTTTGTTGCCTTATTATTCTGTCTCGACCAGTCAAGGTCGTCCCGCACAATCAGCATGATGGTGCTTTCCTGAGATGCAGGATGCAACCGATGGTCCCTAAACCGATGTTCTTAGTTTAGCGGATGATGTATGCTCAAGACTTTGCATTTGGCTACCTCGAACTTGAGCTGGTTATCAGATGACTAGGCAAAAGCCTTGTCGAGATGGCTCTGCAATGCAATAAGAGCACCCGGTGTTTTGATGTCATGCCAGATTGGGACATCGTTTGCATGTATTATGAAGTTTGCTTACAGTACACAGGCAAGACCGCTAATGTATGTTAGGAATAAACGTAGCCCCAGTACCGATCCTTGGGAAACACCACAACGGACTTCAAGCAGTTTTGAAAATTAAGCATCAGACTATCACATTCAGCTGACATTGAATGCGGATGTTGTCGATGCACCTGCGCACAGGGTCAACGATTCCAAAGCTTCGAAGCTCGTCAAGTATGCGGTGGTTTAAATAATCGAACGATTTACAGAAGTCCTTGGCAGACAACGTAAACTCCCACGCTTGCATCGGCTGATTCTGGCCAACTTGCTCGGGTTAGAAGCAAGTTTGTAGTGCAAAACGGATTTCGGCGCAATCCATGCTGTTATGACACTAGGATGTTGTTGTCCTCAACTATCTCATCAGCGCCTCTGCAATGATAACTTTTATTACTTTAGAAGGATAGTGATTGGCCTACAGTTCGAGTGCTTCACACTATTGCCACTTTCGTACATAGAAATGACTGGTATATGTTTCCACCTTGTGGGTATATGCATGTCAAGCAGACGCCCTTGAAAGAACCGAGTTAATAGTTCGGCAAAGTTTATGGCCGCTGTCTTCAATTCTTTCGTTCTGATGTCATCCACGCCAAATAAGTTGGGCATGCGCAATGATACTAGCGTTTTCATCACGTTATCTGTCCTGAACGATGCGTGGTTTAACCTTGGTGTCCATGAGGGCCGTGTCAAAAGCAGGTGAAATAATGGTTTCCTGTGCATAACATGGATGAAGAGTTGGTGAAGCACGTTGGACGCATATTGTGCAGTTTACGTCAGGCCACCTTTTGCACGTAAAACTGGGATCCCATTTGCACTCTTGGAAGATCGTTGGCGTGTCTATACAGCAACTTGGGATTGGTACCAAATGTTGGTACTGGAGTTTGTCTTTATAAGAAACATGACGCCATTGTAGCTTTGAGTTGTGCATGCATCCCAGGTCAGGTTACTTGGACAGACTTAGAAAGCGAGTCAGGCTGCATCCCTTAAGGCCATGCATTGTATAGTACGGCTTCCCAGAAACGAGTTATTTGATTTGCACAGAAAACCTTGCTCTCTGACGCAGTTGTACCGGTGAAATGGTTGACAACCATCATCTAATCGACCTCAGGTGGCTGTTTGGCTAGGTAGGACCAAGTTTGATGGAGCAAGGTATGACAGCATATCGTGCTATGTAACGACGTAGGTTTCGTCCTTTTTCTCCATGACGTACTCCAAGTAGCAGATGTAACGAAACAGCAACCTCACGTGAGCACACCGGCCAACTGGTCCATCTATGGTCACCGTGTCGACCACTAGCTCCTTGTTGGTGAGCACAAGGTGCAAACGTAAGCTGCGTCATCCTTTCAGAATCGAGTGGGACAGGTGGTATGGTTGTACAGGGGTACATCGGCAATGGCCTACTACAAGTCACCCTTTAGTTTTTCGCCGTGCGATTCTGAGATCAGGATGGTGTGCTGGTTTTTCATCTACAGAAGGAGGTGAATGTGCGGTCGTAACAGGACTCGTTTCATCGCAGAAGCTAAGCACTGATCTATTTCCAAAGTGGAGGTTGTAAGGCGGTAAATTATCGCTAGTGAACACACCACCACATTATAGGTGCAGATGACGCCCAAAATATCCACGACTTTCGTTTATGGGTCTCCAATAGTATCACCGTGCAAGTCGGCTCAATAATACAAAAGAACTCCGCATCCTCTGCCGTGTTGATCGTTTTGTTGCGTGTAACCATTAGTGTCGCAGTGGTTAACTTATTTTCGGCCTGGCTACACAGCTTTTAAGTGGAGCTTGATGATGAACGTGGCATCCAAGGCACTGATTTGTCTGGTTCCTGTGGGACAGCTTGCAAGGCTGTTGCTTGCTCTACAAACTTTGTCAGTCTATCGCACTTCCGGGCCAAAACCAATACACACATGTTCAGTGGAACAGATGTACACATAGTGCTGAACCAGCAAGGAGTAGTCGTATTCTTGCGTCCCCCAAGCTGCCTAAGACTAAGGCGAGCACACTTAGGATGAACATTTATTTGACAATTTGTGCATTATGGTCATAATCGCAAAGTTTAACAGAGATGTAGTAGACGTTATGGTCGCAGTGTTTATAGCAACAGTATGTGTAGCCTTTTACAGAGACCGGTCTAGGTGAACCGTTATTTCATTGCTAGCTGCTAAACCATTTATAGTCCCTAGTAAAATATTGGAATAATGATGCGTTCGTGCACACCTGATGTCAGCAATGGCAACATAGGCATATTGTTTTTTCTCGACTACGCAAAGCACGCCTGCACAGACGTTCTGCCTTTGTGGTCCGTCGAAATAGTTATGTTGGCGCTATTAGTAGCATAATTTGCATCCGTTTTGAGTGTGATTCTCATAGGCTCCCCGTCGCAAACTGTAGACAGTATGCGGAGTGAGTTATTGCAAGGCGTTTGACCTGTGTTTAGCTACTTGTCTGTACGATTTTAAAGCGGCCCTCTATTTCTCCCGAGGTAGCACAATAAGAGCAATTTGCAACTGGGTAATCAACAAAAGAATACTTAAGCATCATGGTGTTGCATAATGGAAAGATGCAACAACCCACCATATTTGTTTGCGAATGTTTTGAAGGCCTAGCGCACCCAACTATCACTCAGGAACATAGTCCTAGTTTATGAACAGAGGTAGAGGAGCTACTCGGGATCCTCAGTTGAATTTGTCCCACATTTTACAATATCACAGTTGCAATTATCTCTGTTTACTTGATGTTCCTATCCACTGTCTCTTGAAGACATATCTGTTAATACTGAGCCCTTGGAATGCAAGTGTGTGTAGGAATTAGATTGATATCTTAGGAACAGTGTAAGTCGCTATGAGTTACCTCAACAAGTGCAGTCAGGTATTCCTTGTTCTGTATTTGAAGAGCCGACACGAACAGAACAAATGCATAAACAAGTAAACGGTATAGTTCTCCATAGCGCGAAGTAAATTGCAACTGTATGTTCTGACCCATACCGATCAATAACGACAGAACCGAGAATTACTATGAATGGTTAGAAAAACCTGCACTCCTATGATACGTTGCGATTTTATTTTCTTTCCTCAGATAGAGATGACACGCATCGAATCCGGGAACACTATGGTGTCTGTCGCGACACGCAATCCCTCCAACTAACCCACAATATCAATCGCTGACCGTTTTGCCAAGTGTTGACCGTCGTGACCCAGTGACCCTGGGGTGGCGGTCACAAGTAACATCTCAATGGTGACGGGTTCAACGCCTGCTATCTTTATCTGTGGCGATGAAATAACAACGAAATGTGTCATAGGACTACAGTGTTTTCGGGCGTTCAACATACAATTTCTAGGTGCTTCAGTCATGATCGAAATATCAAGGTTCACTTCAATGGGAATCGCGTTCAAGGTTAAGATTGGGTATCTTAATCCATCCACACAACGTGTACATCCAAATGGTGTTCCATCAGCACCGTTAGGCGCCGACACATAAATTTTAAGAATAAGGCTTAGATTGTATGCAACTGTCCTTTGAATGCTGTTGTCAATATACCTGGTCGCGAATGTCAGTTGACTAAGTGTACTAATGTAATGTTCGCTCAACCTGACTGCAAATGCGTGAATGCTGGCGCGTTCAGTATAATGATGCGGTGGGTATTGGCGTTCCATCAGCCGTAGTCCACCTGGGGTTAGTAGGCTGGTTGTGAAAATGCCTGCTCTCCAGCATCAGCGGATCCCGGAAGCAAGGTAAACAGATAGCGATGATGTGGAAGTCGAAAGATTAGTTTTACAAGAAGTTTCACAAACGTATTGCATTTGTGTTTGACTTGGGCGTTAGATGTAGCCTCATGGCTGTTAGCATATTGTGTTGGAATCATGCACTTGTATGTATTCAGAGTCGCTTGATCTATTATAGTTGAGAGTGAAGGCATCTGCAAATACTTGCATGCTGGCGTAGAAAAGTATGGAAATTGCACGTAATCATGATGCTTCGATTACCCGCCTTGGTGTAAATGACCAAACCGCATGTACGCTTTGGGTAAATGTTAAAATGTAAAGCAGGAAGTTCATGAGTGTTCATTTATTAAGGTGGAAGCAAATGAGGACAGTTGATAAAAACTTTATGGTTTTATAATTTGTGGTCTGAATTGAACCTTGTGCTTGGACAAGTGGTTACTCTAGAACACCGAACATGCTGATGCGTTGCATTTCGTTTCTTGATAGCAATTTCATGGCACTCACGGGGCGCACTAAAAATGCGAGCGGAAACTGAGAACGTTAGTACTCTGGCTATCGTAGAATTCTTTAGACCAATATTTTTTAACGCTTGCAACCGCTTAGCTCTGCACGTGTAACTTGAACACGGATGTCCGTTTAACGCGATTGGAATTCGGTAAGCACGATTTTGGATGACGAACACATTCTAAGTAAGTAAGCAGTAAGATGGTGGCATGTAAAATGCTCCAGAAGCTTCATTTAGTTCAATGAAATATGCTGCCGTGTGTAGAGTTTAAACAATGTAGGTCTATTTTGTAGAACTTTGTAATCCATCGTTGGTAACCCACATTGTTATGCGAACACTACAAAGCAGGATCAGTTCAACATCCGAAAACCGAACTGATAACCACGGTATCACATTAATGCATGGCTTATACCATGACTGACAAAGCCTAACATTCCCTGAGGCATTGATCTAAGGGTATCGATCAACGTAAATCCTTCTTAAAACGTTTGAGCCTGAATATAAGGATGGATATGAATTACTTTAACTAAATTTTCCATTGTTTCGTAACATACACAGAGAAGACGCTGGTTCTGGAACTGGAACGCATAAAGCGACACGACGGAACTGGTCTTGGGAGTACAAAAGCAAAGTCCGCAGCTCGTTTGGAGGAGCATCTCAGTGGTGTTGAAGCTGATCGGGATTATTGGCGTAGCCAGGTGGAGCTATTGCAACAGATGTTGGCGAATCCGGCACTCAATCAGCGAAATGGAATGGTCACTCGGAGTGCCGGTAGCCGCTTGAGGGCTAAACCACCGCTAACGGGTCAAGGGACGATAAAACCGATCAGCAAATCTAGAGACGGGATCCAAAGTAAAGTATGTGTTAATGGTTAATCTGTACTCTACATCTGATGCAAAGCCAAACATGCTGTGGGATTGTTTTGTGGCCTAACTGTAACATAAGTACTCTGGAGTTTCCGCGAGGCCTGTATTTTTTCCACGTGGAATGCAGGTTACAATCTCCCATTTCAGCTGGAATCCCAAGTACAAGAGCTTACGGCCGAACGAAACCGCTTGCGCCAAGAACTCGAACGAGCTAATCGAAGTGGTTTGGCAAGCCCGTCACAAATCGGGCGTTCTCGATCGCTGTCTAGGCTGCAGGTATGTCAGAGTAACGCGAGCAATAGCTGTCGCAATTGATTCGCGACCAGTATACTCCTTATCCTAAGAGACAAACAGCAATTGCGCAACAGGTGTTCATTGATTTGTGGATCACTGTGTTTGATGAATTGTAGAATCTAAGTACAACTTGCGGATAAAGTAGTGGGTTAACACCCAAATTTAAGAAACCGGTGGCTGTTGGAATGTACTTTATGCCACACCATTGGCCGTTTATTACAAGACGGTTGTGCGTAACGTGACGAACTGGAATGAACTTAAAATCTACGTTTGAGACCACCATAACATCGATTGCGATAGCAAGCATGCGATGCCCCTCACTGAATATTTTAGGCGGATAAAATAAATAGGTGTTAGGAAACGAATGTCTCAGTGCATATCTAAAGGCTTAACACAACACTTAACAATAGACGACAACCAACGCAGACAATAACTTCTGATAATTGTTTGCACCAAATCTCTAACTAGGCTACAATTAGAAATCGGCTTAACCTTACAAGATTTGTAATTAAATAGGCAACCAAAAGAACGATATACCTATTTACACTGAAAAGATAGCTAGTAAACATGTATGCGAGTTGCTACACGATCGGGCACGTGCGTAGAATCATGCTACTGATTTCGGCTCGTTTGCAACATATTACAGATGCAGTATAACCTATTCAGGTGTGATACACTCGATAGTTCTGAAATTCGCAAAGTAAGTCTCTAGGAATTGCTTGAACTCCGAGACCTATATCGCCTCAACAATTTGCTTGAGCAAACCGTTCTAGTATTCAATCATTCGACGCTCGAAGCATAGAAGGTGAGCTATCCGCTTTAGGTCGGGTACCACCAGCTTGTTCCGTTGGCCTGGGAGTACTACTGTGGGTACGCACGTACAGCATTGACCTTAACATGAAAAAATGATCAAAACGTAGTATCCGATGGGTTCTTATTAGATTAACTAAAACCCCAAGATGCGACAGGGTGTACAACCCTAGTCATCTACATCAGTTTCCACACGACATACCCTATATATTGAGGATAGATCTGGTAGCAATATGTTGAATCGGTTTCATTCGCTGTAGATCGGCATAGTTGATTGCACCGTAGATGGGTGATCCCTACTCGAACATTGGTCTTATGATGAAAGAGGAGAGGCCCGTGGCAGTATCTTCAGATCAAATGCAAAAGCTGTGTTTAAGCGGCGAAAGCTTGCGCGGCCACTTTCTATATACCTTGTTTTTGTTGTCTACGGACTTCAAATGGTAGCATCAGAGTACGCCGAAATCATTCACAGAAGGTATGAGATGTAGCGATTGGTCAACCAGAGTGTACGTATGCCCATCACCACTCTGCCTTAGTCTCATATATCACGAGTTGACTGGGTCGACCGGTAGATCGAAGTCTGCGAACAACATGGACAGGCGGTCGAAGTCACGCTGAAGTACCTCAGTCCTCGGGAGCATCAGTTACTCACAACATCTGCAAGTCTGCTAACAGTGCAAAAGATGACCGGGGCATCTGCGGCACTTGGTTGAGGTAGCTCAGGAACAAAATAGGCTACACTATTGTGCTCTAGGGTACATCAATATTGGTAGATTATCAGTCCTTCAAATGGACATCCATATGTACCCGGCGTTTACGCCCAAGCAGAAAGTCACAACATCGCACAACCTCAGGTTTTTGAAGGGCAACTCGTGCTTGCTGTTTTCGAACGCTTTACTGAAGTCAATGTAGATGATATCTACCGAGTTTCCTCGGTTCAAAGAATGCAGTCATTCATGTCACGTCAACAGCAGTTTGGTGAAACAGGTGTGACCATTCGTGAAGCCGTGCTGTGCAGTGGTCAGGAGGATTTTTGATAGAGTATTGTTGCTTAGAAATGACAGCTGGTTTACACATTTATGTAAGAAAGTCCTATATAAGTGGTAGTGCTCGAATATTGTTCACCTTTAGCTGCAACTAGTTCAAGGTAAAATAAAGTAATCCATCAAACTGTGTCTTTAGTTAACCATCAATAGTTTTGCAATGCACAAGAGATCTGGGAGCTTGCAACCGCAGCCTTTGTGACATAGTTTCTGGTGCTCATAACAAAACTAATGAAAAACGCAGTTAAATCACTAGCATCGCTATTGTTGATGATCAGAACGATGGCATTTAGTCAATACGTAAGGGCAACATCACATTTAAGCACATTTTTATCTTTTTAAAGTCTCTAAAACCTTTTTAGGCCACCTTTTCAGAACACATACGGCAGTCAGTATACGTACCGCATAAACAGTTGCGTCACGTCTTCATTGTTTATTTGATGCCGTTAACCACAAGAGACACACATAATCAGCGCCCTTAGCTGAGCTGGGTTCTCTATCCTTTACTTATATTTGTTCTTTACATAAGCCCCGACAAATTTAGTTTATCAGCTTTTGACGTCTGTGTCAGAGGCTTTCGTCAAACCTGAAGCGATCTTCCCCTAGCGTTTATCGGACTAGAGATTGACATAGCCTCATAGTCCGACAATTGCTCATTCCATGAGGGAGCAACTCTGTTAATTTTTCCTATAAGTTTATTTGTGTCGGGGACAAACAACTATTGTGTTGCCTTAATTTATAATAATAATAAAATTAATAATAGCAATAAGCAGAATATTAATAATTTTATTTATCTTTAAGTAGGAAGCTGTGTCCATATTTGGTACACATGGTGTATATATAAGTAGTACCATGCTCTTGCATGAGCAATACTAACATGTGACGAATAAAAGCAACCGTAGATTTCCCGTTTGTCTGAGGTACGGTCCAACGTTCTGTGACGATTTTTGATGTATGGCGGGCTCGCAAGGAGTATCGAGTTTCCTAGACCTAAAGAATGATACAGCCGCTGCGAACTGAACTATAAGAGTGCGAGACCAACGCTGCTCACATTAATTAACAGAAGCCGCGAGTGTATAGAGAAAACTGTCTTTAACATAAGACCTTGCAAATTCTATTACAGAAAATGCTTATGACCCATGTGTACTTCACCTAGAATGCTGGGGCACAGGAACTTCAAGCTTTAGCATCAGCGTTGAGGTTAACATGTCCGATCCGATACATTGGCTATCCTGTTTGATAAGGAACAGTAGGATTGTGTTCTTTGGCTAAAGGGTTAAAAGGTGAATTTAAACTGTTTGTCGCACACCATGCCCAATGGTACGAACACCACAAACATCCAAAGGCAATGAATTGTTATTTCGCCCTCTTGTGGTTCCTCAGTAGGGCTAACGTGCTTCTCATAATTCAAGTGAATGGAGCCATCGCTTAGTAGATACGTAGGCTACTACTTAAACCAGCGATTTATGGGGGATGGTAGTTAGCCGCTTTGACTGGTATCGAGCTTTGACCAAGCGCTGTTTCTGTACGTTAACGTGCACATGAATGGGAGAGACCTTGCCCACCAAGACGGTGGCTTCCATTGTCAGGCTACCAAACTTTTTTAGAAATAGAAGCCGGTTCAATAGAGCACCAAGTTACACTAGGTGCTCAAGAGTAGGGAAGTTCCGATGTAATAAATTGTGAGTTCAACGCATCAACTTCCAACTCAAACAGGTCTTCATATATAACTGTAAGCAATGGACGACCGTTTCGGTTTTTTTGGTCTTATCAGCATGGCACATCCGTCGGACCTTCGGAACTATAACTCAAGACCACCTGCGGCTTAAACCGCCAGCCTGCAGATAATGTCCTTGGACGATAAAGGACAGATGTAGACCGTCATGGTTTACAAGATAACAGTGATGTAGCGCATCTTATCCTCCAATACCATACATTTCGTACGTTAGAGAGGACAGTGTTAGCCCAGAAAGATCATACATCCACTGACGGTAGCTATGTAGGACATAGTACTTAGTAATTGTTGGGTGAATATTTTCTTGTACTTATGAATAGGTACTACGACAATTACACAATATTTCATCGATAGTTCCCTTAAACTAACTCAGTCGATTGCTATCATTTCTAAGAGTACCAAAACGGATTAGTATTTTTGGAACAAAATGACAGCGTTCTACTTAACGGAATCATTGGGATTCCGAGCGGAGCTGCGTTTGCCTACAAGGCAGCAGCAAAGTTCACTTATCGTGGGTAACGGATGGCGGCGCTATGAAAAATTACATTTACAAATTACAATTACAACCAACGTTCTGTTCTACTTTCACAACATTTGGTCAGTGACATGCGTTGTGCTGTAATGTGAACTATTGTCACAAAAATAATTCTTACAGCTTCTCTGTTTCAACAGCAAAGCGAAGATTTGAATCAACTGACAAAGCTCCGCCAAGAAAAAGAGGACATGAAGATGATGTTGAACAAATTAGAGCAACGTGTACAGGAAGTGAGTATGCTTGCTCTAACAGGTACACTATTTGTTACGTAGAACTGAAGTACTTAACCCTACCGATTCATGATTGAAATGCTTATGATCTAAATGAGTTATTAGACAGAAAGGCTAGATACAATGAACATATCAGGAAACTGTGCCTTCTGGGTGACAATCAGTGACTAACTCTGCAGGCGGTTTCATTTCCGACGGTCATGCACCACATTGTGAATACATGTTGTTACTCATAAGACGAAGAACAGGTTCTCTTTACCGAGTAAGCTGGAAATATTGCAGTTGGCATTATGACGGATCTCGTTGTGCGCTGTTTCAATTACACTGTCATTGAAACGGCCTCGTTACGAGTTGCTTCTCCTGATCCTGGGGATTGTACACTGTAGCAACTATCCTCAAAAAGATGTCACTGCTGCAAGTTTAATTTCACTATTTAATGGAAAAGTTGGCTTATGCCAATAGACATGCATCTGTTCAACTAGCGTCCTTTACTGTTACCTGGAGTTGTAGAGAACCTTATGAAGAAACGGGACGAGTGTATATAAACAGAAAACATGATGGTATATGGTAAAGGGAATCGTTTCCATCGGCCGTGGTTCCATAACCATCCGTGTCAGTGGGTGTGCAAGAAGATGCACACATTGCAGACAAATAAACCCCACGCAGATCAAACCTTAACATCGGTCATCTAAGTATACGATATGAGAACGATATTAGTTTGTATTTTATACAACGAACAGACGTGAGAAGGAGAAGCGCTGGCTACTAGAGTATGCTATCGTTGCTTAAGTCCCTCCAGCCTGGTTTTTATCACACCCATTTGTTGTTGTCCGCAAGGAAATAAGGGAGATTGGTAATTTGGTGGTGTATTTGTGAAGCGCACACTCCCGGTAATGTTATAGACGAACGGAAGTTGCACACTTAAAGGCACTGTTAAGGCAGTCAGACTAGAACGGATGGTTGTAACCAGGACTGACTTTCAGTTCTGAAGTGAGCCACTTAAATATACTTTGGGTGTGGGAGAAAAGATGTCTTATATTTTAAATATTTCTTTGTTACATGACATATCGGAAGTCGAGAGAACAGTCGGAGGTATTTGTTGCTTTAGTAAAAGCGGTCGTTAAAAAAAGGTTTCATAACTTTAAAAATTAACAAATAATATTATAAATCCAGCAGCAATTAGCATCACTAGTTCCTCGAGCTGAAGAGTGAAGGCTGGTTGTTTTACCCACAACTTTTCTTAAATAAATAAGAGTTCGCATAAGTACATAAATAAATAAATAAATATTAGTCGATGATGAGAGATCCAGTTCGAATAAATAACCTGATCAGTATGTACATCATGATCGCTTAAAACAGGCAATTGTTCACGCTGTATAAATAGATCACAAAAGAGTATTTAAAGTAATTGAAAAATGAACAATGAAATATTAGGGGAAAAATGAGATTGCTTTACAAGTCCAGTAGGATGATGGAAGTGAAAGTAAACATAAGTTTACATCTTCAAGTTAAGCGTCTAGCGATTCAGTTTTAAGGTATAAGAGAAATAGCGAAAATGGGAAAAAATAAAAAAATCCAGATGTAAACAAAGGTAATATGGCCATTTATGGAACTATCTCCAAAAGATCTGTTTCTATGCTGGGTATTCCTTCCAAATATATTTCCGTCATTTCCATGCCTGACCGTGTGGTGGTGTTGCAAAGTGACAAATAAGCCGCCACCTGTTTCATAAATTTGTCTTCTCATTATGGGGCTAATTTTATGCATACATTATGGACGATAAAGCCTCGGCCCGTTCCGACATGCTAATCATGCAATGATGGCAATTGTTATATGTTTGTCAGTCAGTAGCGATGCGCTTTGCATGGGCACATTTTTTAAGCTTGGGATGTTTAATCAGGCTTTACATGAGGTCAACCCCTTTGTGACCAAATTTGAAATAGGGAAGAATAGAAATTATGAAAATGTGTACATAAAGGTATAATAACGGTAGTGCTGATAAAAAAGCATGTTCAACAACAACACAAACTGTTGGGCACTGCATACATTAACTTGTGCGGTGTCATAACCGATGATAATTAACTGACCGCAGTATCCTTAAGGATGTAGATACACAAATGAATTTTAGAGTAAACAGTGATAGCATGGGTTGCAACAGTAGAGAATCTGTTCACAACACACACTGCAATTCGTGAGGTTTTTCAGTACGTTCACCACAGGAAATAAAATGTAGGTGGTTAGTAAGACAGAACAAATGAAGCAAAGAGAATTGCAGAAAAATACGACGTATTAATCAATTTGTAGAAGGATTATGAAGATGATTACTGTCTCTATACCAATAGATAATTGCTGCTCTTGATTTTACATAAAAAGACAAATAGTAGCAGATTAATATGAATAGTGTAAAAGTGAACCAGAGATTGCGTAAAAGTATTAAATTTGTGGCGGTTTTAGCAGCTCAACCTAGAACATCCAGACGGCTCTGATGCACACGCAGTAACCTTGATGAACAAGCCACCTGAATAAGTTGGTAATACGGAGTGTCATGGGATAATGCGTAGTGGGACAATAAAAAATGAACAATGAATTAATACGGGCCAAGAAATTTTGCTTTACAAGTTCCGCTGGATAGTTGGTGGGGTATCGAAACAATAATAATACTAAGAATAATAGTAATAATAATAATAATAAAACGGTTAGTACTGGTAGTAAAAAATAAGGATTTATGGATTGGATGGTCAAGTTTGGACTACACGTGAATGTAAACCACAGTCCATTACATTGAGTTTGTGCGTCGCAATCCAATCACACAACGAGTAGTCCAAACTTGACCCTCCAATTAGTCATTACTGTTGTGCCAAGCGTTGCCCACCGTGACCCGGTAGCCAAAGGGGTAGAGGTTTCGGCTACTATTCCAATGGTCGCGGGATCAAGGCCTGCTGTCTCCACCTGATGAGATGAAATTACATCGAAACACGTCTTGGTTGTGCAGTGTGTTCGGGTGGGCAACACCCAATTTCCATCTGATTTATAGTTTCCTGTAGTCCAGCAATTCACGTAGATTCACCGCAACCATATTAAACATCAAAAAATACATGGTATACTCCAAGGGCGGGATGGCGACGTATTGCTAAGGGACAAAGCGTAATTGGATGAGTGCGTCATCCAACCGTCCTTCAAATACTGTTGTTGTCAGTGCAGAGCTGACCAATTCAGGGACAGGAATCCATGGGTAACAGAAAGGAAATAAAAGACATTTCTGTAATACTCAAGACCTCTATACTGTTCTGCGACTTCCAAAGAGTTGCCCATTGGGTTTGCATCCCTGCTGAGTTGCAGTATAGAGCGTCACACATGGTATGGTTCGTGCAGATTCAAATATGTCATACTTAAGTCGTCTCGTAATCTGTGATAGCGTCCACTGAATGCCTCACTCATTTCAGCATTCTATCGTATGAAGAATTACACATTCCAGTTACGTTCTTATATGTCCGACGTTTTGGCTTCTCCAGTGCAATAAGAGAGTGCTTCAGCCGTGGCTGCCAGGATTGAATTGCGTATTCGACATGGAGGGGAACATACGCACTGAGCGTTAGTCAAAATGTGGAGCTGTTTATGAGTCCGAAAGCTCGTCGCAACATCCCGAGGTGTTACTTGCCAGTCTTCGAGGCCTTTTTGGATGGCCTGAACACCCAATTCGCGTTTGAGAGTTGATTGTTGTAGTATATACGTTCCGGGTCAGTATGAGTAGATGCACTGATGTCGGATGGAAAGTACCTTGCATTTACTCACGTTGAAATGCAGACAATTTTGGGTTGAACATTGCTAGACCGTGTCTAGGTCACTCTGGAGCAGATACTGGTGGGCGTTCACCTGCATTTTGCGCCAAAGCTTCAAGTCATTTGCGAGTGCCTGTAGGAGGTCACCACTAAACACAAAAACAAACGTAGACACAGTGCTGATCATTGCGACACATTACACTCGACTGGTAAGGGGTCCGTTAAAGAGCTCCGAAATCTGACCACTAATTGCCGTTGAAGTAGAATGTTGACACTCCAGCTTAACAGAGGGTCCTTGATCCCGAAATGCTTAATCTTGGAGAATATTATCCAATGCTTTAGCCCATCGAAAGCATTCAAAAAATCCAAGTACTTCACACCAACGCCTCCTCCAGCGTCAGATGACTCGGTCCAACTACTGCATGCGATTAGTAAATTCGTTGGGCATGACCGCAGTGGACGGAAACCGTTCTGCTCAGGTGTGATGATGTTACAGTTTTCCATTTAAATCACCTGTGCATCAGCAACATTGGATTACATGACAATGGAGCGTATAGGAAGAAAAGACACTGAGCGGTAGTTGGTGGGCTCAGTTCTGCTTCTACCGTTGTGAATCGGGATTATTATTCCAAGCTTCCACATAGAACGAACTTGGTTCTTATCTAAGCACGGCTACAAAAATTGAGTTCAAGCTTCTGCTAGTTGGTATGGTGTGGCTTCCAGTGCCTCTGGACGAATGCTATCGACACCCAGGAAGTCGTGTTTGCCTAGAGATGTCAGGTTCCACAATATAGTCTCCTCGATAAAAATGTCGTAGGTTAGTCCTGGCTTGGAGACGATAAAGGCTTGAAGATCGCTTGGCAGAAGGACCCTCTGAAATGTGGGGTCACATTGCATCTGTAGCAAGTTTACTGCTTCCATACCCGTTCTTGTTGTGCCAACGGTCGTCCTTTCCTTATCTTTCGTAAGCCGTTGACATGCTTGTACAACAGTTTATGGTTAGCACTAAAAGAATTTGCGATGTTCCGCTGATATGCAACTTTGTCTTCTCTGAGCAGTTGAGCGCAGTGATTACGTTGGGCTACATGTTTGTCCCAATTGTATGGTGTTAGTGCTACTTTGTTCACTCGCTATGCTGCGTTGCGTACTGTCATCCATCTTCCAGTTCTGCTCCTAACGAACAATACTGATTCACACTGATTGTAGACTCTTATCTCTGAAGCCTTTGTAACCAGCTGACTAACTTTGTTGACGAACACGAGCCAGGCGACTTTGGGAGTTCCATCGGCAAGGGATCATTTAGTTGTAGCACGGACGAGCTGGGCTAATGGACCGTAGCTTGTGAGTTTTCGCACAGCCCCATAATGCTTACTCCGATATTCCACATAGCGGACGAAGTTAGAATTGATGACTGCGTGATCACTGCGACACAACGGGCAGTTTTCAGCCAAAACATCCATCATATGCTCTTCGTTGGTTAGCAGAAGATCAAGCACAGATGGCCAGTTACCTTTTCTGAATCGGGTTTGCAAAGTGACTTGCTTGTAAGCCGGAACAATGCTTACTACTTCTTGTACACTGTCTTTGAATTGTCCTCTGATCCTGGCAAGGGTATTTTAACAATGTACGTTAAAATTACCCATGGTAATTGTGTGCGTGTACTTTCGCTTTAGACTGCATCTCAAAGCAGCCACAAGGTGGTAGTCGGTTTCGGGTGTAGAGTTAGACGGGCGGTACACCAAAGCGATAATGCAAGCGTATCTGCTTTTAACTGTAAACGGCACCAAAGGGCATCGGGAAACTGCGAGTCTGAATTTTCCACGGCTTTGCACTGAAAGCCGATTCGGCTATACAGGACTACCCCTCTGCCTTTTATGAGCCTCTGGTTCCCGATCAGCGGCATGCCCGGTAGCAAAACTTCAGCATCCGTCATATTCGTGTGTAACCACGTCTCAGTACTTTGAACAGACCGTTTGTACCTAAATCATCGACTGTTACGACAAGCAGTGTAGACATTTTTGCAGCAAACGGTTCAACAACGGTTACTCACGTAACTTAGGGAGTAAGGTGTGGACCTCCTTTAGTTAGACACGCATGAAAGCATTTTTGGATATGAATACAATTAAAGTGGATTCTTTATAATGCACATTTTGCTCAAAAAATTGCGGGATGCAATCATAATGCGGACTGCGATTTGCCATCAAATGAGTCGTTTTATCCTTTCGGTCAGGCGAGCGTACCTGAAAATATAAGTATCAGAAACTTACCGTTCGCAACATCATAATCCAAAAGCGGTGTGTTACTTGCTGCTACTTGATATTTTAGATATCGGTAATGGGATTTGGAAGCTGGACAAAGAGACTGACGGTGATTTTATTTATCGCACTACGAGCGAATCGCAGACAGTGTTCGCCACAGCAATATTCCAAAGATGTTTCAATCTGAAGGATGATTTGTGAAAATAGATTGCCAGCTAAACTGCTTTCATCTCGGCAGCCACTCGTTTTGAAAGGGAGTGCAAATTTCATACTCCTCGGCTTGATTAATCCGCGTGGTGTAACTCACTTTTGTTAGGCAAAGAAAGATCCAGTGTTTGACACGGTTCATCCTATCAGTTTTGCCGCTTTATCTAGACGGAAGGCACTCCATGTGACTGAAAATGATATGTGCCAGCAACTTTTTCCGTGATTTCAAAATCATATGACGCTACAATTGACGTACAGTAGCAGCCGATTTATTATTTTTTTACAAAGTGTTGCAATCGTGTTAAGTGCAAAGCAGCACTGCTGGGGTGAGATATACACTCGCATCAACATCAAATGGCAATCATCGTGGCGGGGATTTTAATACAAGAAGCTGTTCGCTCAAACCTGACTCACATTTAGTTACGTTGTGTTCACCTCTTGCCGGTCAAATCAGTAAGGAATCCCTCCTCAAGTTAAAAGCTATTCTCAGCTCTTTCAATCGCACCAGACTGTGTTAACGTCTGCACGTGGAATTCCTATGGATTAAGTCGCGCTGTATTGGATAACTACTCTACTAAATCTATGCAACCGTGTGAGGAACTGCAAGGATAGTGCCCCGAAAGTTCGCAACAGTATCAGTTGCACGTTTGCGTTACCTTGTATATTTCTCATCTTTAAACATCCCTACGGTTCTTATAATATTGGGTGTATTTGTCCACCGACATTTTACTAGTTGTGTCGCATTTATGACAGGAAGTCTGAGCAAGTAATATTAATTTCCCAATATATATATATGTTACAACGGAGTAGAAAGTAGTTTTTAATGGTATAAGTAAATGTTCATCATAACTAAGCTCAAACAGTAATTATGCATCAGGATAAACACTGTACAGCTATTTCCTCCTTCCAGAACTTTCCAGCGGTACGCATTCGACCTGGCCATTGTGGGATGTAAACCCGCAGTTATATCTATTGTTTCTAGTCAGTGGCGGAGATTAATAAGCTACAGAGGACGACAACAAACGACTTGCTTATGCTACTAGATGTGATATAACGCCACTGACCATACACTGACTCGCACAGTACAACAGTGTGGAGAGAAGAGTAGACCCTCACCAAGCCACGAAGTTACCAGATGTAAGACGCCAATTAATATATGGCGTTATATGTAGTTTGGTCTGTGTACTACTTAGAGAAGGGGAGCTAAATGGTAAACATGGATATTCGTCACATTTTGACTCAGTCAGACAGCCCTTCCATGCCAGACATAGCTCAGTGATCTCAAGCACAGACAGAAAACAGTCGATTTTTAAGCCTTAACCCCATACAGGCCAGATATAATGGGCACTGCTAACAAGTTCTGTAATGAGGAAACGGCTGTACTGTGCTTTTACGGGCGCGTGGTAGCTGTCTGGCTGAGTCTACCTGTGATGAATTTCTACTTATACAAATTATACGTGTACCGTATTTTCGGACTTTAAGGCGTATTTAAATACCTTATGTTTGCTTTAAAATCGGCCGTGCGCCTTATATTCCGGTGCGCCTTAAGTTGGATTCCAAAACGACACTTGTTAAGAAAAATGATTACAAAGCGGGTTTCAATCTCAAGGCCATCAGCCACGCAGTACCACAAAGGAATAGAGCAGCTGTGAAACACTTTATGCTTAATGAAGCAATAGTACGGAAGTGGACGAACCAAGAAGATGATCTGTGCCAAGTAAAGAAGACAAAGCAGAGTTTCCGATGGAATAAAGGAAGATGGCCAGAGTTAGAGAACAAAATTGAGCAATGGATTACTGAACATAGAACCGCCGGTAGAAGCGTCTCTACAGTCTCCATACAATTCAAGGCAATATCGATGGCACGTGATATGAAGACGAACAACTTTCAAAGAGGTCCTTCTTGGTGCGTCCGTTTTATGAAAAGGCATCTTCTATCCATCCGCACAAGAAGTAGTACCTCGAAGCAACAGCCAAAGGATTACGAAGAAAAGGTGGTCACCTCCCGCACTTATTGCAAGAACAAGATCACCGAAAATATAATCCAGCCTGACCACATCACAAACATGGAAGAGGTTCTTCTCAGATGCTACATCCCATTGAGCCGCACTGCTGAAAAAACAGGGACGTCTACTGTATCTATACGCACCACAGGGAACGAAAAATCATCCTTCAGTATAGTTCTCGGCTGCCAGGATAATGGCGAGAAATTACTACCCATGGTCATTTTTACAAGGAACACAATACCAACACAATTGTTTCCTGTTGAGGTCATCTTCAATCTCGACACGATACGCTAGATAGACGAGCAAGGCAGGTAGGCAATGCCTGGCTAGATATGCCACTATCTGCCAATGGATCGTCGATGCCTGGGCCAAGGTATCGGTCTCAACTGTCGCCCGATCTTTCACGAAGGCCGGAGTCATGCATGAACAGCCATGCAACGGCAACGATATGACTCAGATGATGTCGAGAGGATCCGGGTTTGGTTGGTGCCACTTTCGCTTAACTGCTAAACATTGACACTGTAGCTGAAGAAGTTAACGGATTTGTAAGGGAGGAATGGTTGAAAAAGTGTATTTTTCTGTTTTTTATGTGTGATATAAGTGAACAATATTGAGAGTTATTGTTACTAAGTTAAATTAATTCTGACCTATCTGACTATTTTGTTTCACTTTATGTGCCTTATATATGAAATTAGATCCGTTCACCAATACTGCGTCTTATAATCCGGTGTATATCAATTAAGTTGGGACGCTGTTGCCATTAATCATCACCTTTATGAATGGATGGCTTCGGATGAGTGCCTGTGCGATGCATATTAACTGAAAAGGAATTAAAGAGAACATATTGGGAGGCTAAGGAATTCAGACAACTTCATTCTCGTATACACCACAAAGTAGTTCAACTAGTATGCTGTACTTTGGGCAGTTGACGACTGGACAGTGGTTTGTAAGGTATCGAGACCGTCTAGTTGCATCTCGCAGCAGTACTATCTAGTGACTGGCAATTGATTTAATCTGCGCAGCTCGGGTGTTATCATACGGTCCAGATGCCTAGGAAACATCCTGGCTGAAGGAGCGCGAGCCCACACGTTAGACACATGATCCAGACTTTATCTGGTAAGATCTGTCCTTCTTGGAGTGAGGAGTCTCACTGAAGTGCTAAGGAACAATGGTAGGTTTAATTCCTACATGGAAGCAAAATAGGAATTTAGTCACAGTACAGCACAATCTCATTTGCCGGAATTCTGCGTGTGGCGTGACGGAATAGGTTGGTCAAGCGTGCATCCACTACTTATCTGAAAGAGCATCAGGCGTTATATACTCAGTTTCTCCGATTTCTGCTTCCATTTACCTTCCTGCACATGTTTAATTTCGGTCGATTAGCACAAGCTTCCTCTATATGACTTCTGTGGGGATAACCGGTAGGTAGAAAAAGCACTGTGTTTACATCTTGGATCAATCTTTCGGAAACTTGTGTGTGTGTCCCCTAATTGACTGGCGCCTTTGAAAATGTTATGGAACAAGTGATTATGTTATACTCATCTTGTTCATTCAGCGTGTTTGGATGGATGCGCCTGTAACACAGTCGCAGTTAGATTTATCGACCATTACTGCTCAAACACTACTGTTTCACTAGTTTGACATGCAGGTTTTCACGACAGTGAGTAAACTGTCAATTGGGTGCGTATTAATGGATTCTCTTGTTTTCTTTATGCATTACAGATACAGAAAAATGTTCATTCTTTGACGGTGGAACGTGATCAGCTGAATAAATTGTACAAAGAGGTAGGCTGAAGGTGTCAGTTGTACCACGCTCTCTGTATGTCTACATGCAGAGTATTTTTAATTCAGCTTAAATGTGGGTTAATGTTGCATGCTTACATACCACAAAAGTTGCCTTATTTTTCCTGACTGTTTACATTGGTACCAAAACCAACTTATGTATGTGGTCGGTGTTGTACTGCCTGGCCTGCGCTATTAATATCCATGGTCTGCTCTACCTGGCATCCAGTTTCACCATGATAAGCAAAATTTAAGCCTCGTTAGGCTGTGTGAAAAGAATGCTTTTATTTGTGGGTCAACCATCTATTCTGAGGAAAACCATGATCTCCGTATCTTCGGCGTCCTAGCCTTAACCAATGTGAAGGTCTTCCGCGTGACTGTTTTGTAATGTTTGGCCGTTTGTTTGAGTCAAATCAGGTCCCTAGCCATCTAAGTCCACGCCCACTCGCCTTCGCCAGCCACGCATATATTGGCACTGTTTCACGTAGGCTGCGCGAAGAGGCGACCTAGTACAATATGATACTGAGTTCCGCCAACAGTTTTAGTATCATTTTAACAATCCCATGCTGCAGACCGGGTCGTCTGCCGACACATATCATGCATTGAATAAAGCTCACATGGACCGAGAGTGTTAAAAAATTTACCCCACAAACTTAGAGCAAAAGAACACAATATTAAAGAAACCATTGCTGTCATCGTTTGCCTCGGCATCACATAATCAGGATCAGTTTTATCCATTGACTCTGCCCCAGTTTCTATCTAGAGGCCTACTTATCAATAAGAGAACAAAAGAGGCCCATCCGGTCCAGACAGTGGTCCAATCACTTTCAACTTATTCATTTAATTAACCACGAATAATTCTGGGGACGAAGAAAAGTGGAAGGATAAAAGCTTAATAAGTAACAAATAATTCTGCTAGTTCCTGACGGTGCGACGGTTACCGCATATGGGCAAAGCAGTAAGCGAAAAGTTGTGTTTTACAGATGTCATCATCCCACCTGTTGGCGATATGCTGTAGGAAAACTCTACTGTCATCAAGCTTCGGTTTCAAAACTCGACGACCGATCAATGCAAGGCGATTTCAGAGTCCAAGGCTAGGTATTGAAGACACCCTCATCATGACAGGGTGACGCGCTACTCCGAATCGGTTAGAGTCATTAAACATATCTCCTAAGCACATGGCTAGTGGCATCTGGTTAGGATTTGACTGTCACGGCGGCCTCCAAAGGGACAGCCGCAGGATGGCCGCGCCTACAGAGGGACCATAGCTGGCTTGCGCTACACCATCCGCAGCTCCAACCACACACTTCATATCCCGTGTAAACCAGAAGGAGTAAGACCAGGAGGCATTTGGATGGGAGCCAAGCTTTATCAACGGAGCCGGTGAACACCTCGTCACAGGCAAACACAAGCACCCTGTATTTGAGGAATCAAGCGCACAGAAGGCGGTGGCTGGACCGTGGTCCGTTCCACACTAAGTGCATGGAACCGCTCTTTGAGCCTAGCACGGTCACGAGGACCGCGTACGCCGTCCCCTCCAGCAAAGACCAAATGTCTCCTGGAGCCAGTATAGATGAGGTTGTGGGTTATAGACAGGTAGGCACCTTGTCAACATGCACATCAAGCGCAGCCATACCGGTGATGTCAAACAATAGCCAATTACTTAAAAGGTGAATAAGAAAGTATAGTTGCCGAAAAAAGCATACGGATATGCCGAATTAACTCTTCACTATATTGGCATACGTAATAAATTGGCTATCAGTAAAACCGCGCTATGTCCAAATTTCATTAACCATACCTTTCAGTACCACATATGCGCCAATTTTAACGAAGTTAAACATAATTAGCTTAGCAACATGTGTGCTTTAACGAAACACTATCCAGTCGACGTTTAAAGGCGGTAAGAAATACTAATAATTAAGGAAAGATAGTATACCCACCACATGAAACAAAGAAACTCAGCACACAAGCACGCGGTTAGTAAATTGAATGCGGCGTACCTATCAACGCTGCGCCGATTGTGCCTAGGTTCTCAGTAGCACCCACCGCCGTTTCGATGCTGGTCCCATATGGCCTCGTTCGTGGCTCGCTAGAACTGCCTGACTCAGGAACTCGCGACTGCATGTGCTACAGCGTAATGCGCTCAACGTCGATGGAGTCCACTCCATCGTCTGGCCGGCACATCGTCCATGTTTCACTGCCGTATAGAAGAACGGACAGCACCATGGATTTGTAGACCACCAGCTTCGTGGTAAGGGTATGCTGGGGGTTGTTTCACATTCGGTACTCAAGCTTCCCGAATTCCGCTGTTGCTTTCCCCTAGATCCTCATTTATCCACTTTCGATTTGTAACTAGATTCCATTCGATACGCGTCACAAACAGCTACGTCCACAACGTGAACCGTGGAATTTTCAACCGAAAGCACGTCTGATTTGATGAAAATGATGACGGTCCGAACAGGGTGCTGAGTTTGCAGTCTGGAAACGAGCTGTTTCATGGTTGTAACGGTCGAAAACAAGTCCGATGCACGTTGTAAAGTTGTCCACTTTCATCTTCTGTCTAATGAGCGGATGTAGTTGCAGCCTGAGGTGCTTTCATGGCGTCGTAGTTAGTAGGTTGCATCGGATGATAGTGAGTTATTATAGCCCGACCTAATGTGAAGTGACGAGCCCACTTTTAAAATGTTGCCAATTCCTCATCCTGTAGATGCTGTTCATTGGGATGTCTTAGATATTATCCCCCTAACGAGAAAGACCAGATACAGTGGGGAATATTGCATAGCAAAATGTTACTGGTGTAGAGACTTTGTTGGGACTTCGCTGTTGGAGATGGCACAGGCGGGGTAGGAACGAGCTTGTTCGACACTGGATAGGCGGTGTGTTAAGTATGCGACATGGATGATTGCATATCTGTAAACTTCCTAATGTTGGTGGTTGTCTAACAGCAGCGTCCCTCCATAGAGTTTAGGCCACATAATAAAATATAGATAAGGTTAGAATGAGAATAAGTGTGGAAGTTAAAAAGAGTGGAGATCAACGAGGAAGCAATAACAGTAGTGAAACAAACGAAAATAACGACAGCATAGAGAAACACACGGAAGAACCTAATACACTTTTTTGACTACAGCTAATAGCGAATTTACAAGATAAAGGGAATTTTCTGCTTACGGTGTATATACACTTTGGATTAAACCAAAGCTACGCGTTCCATAAAAAATGACGACAAGTAAATACTTTCGCTACTAGCTTAAGCTCTATCTGAAGCTGTCAATAGGCTGTTAGTATACCATCAGTAGCACGCTAGCGCCGTTCAATTCACAGAGTACGACGGATAAGCTGACCCCAATTGACCGACAGTCAACTGTCAGCTGTCGTTGCCCGGCATTTCCGTATTGGCATAACTATGGAGATATAATTCCCATCCAAACGGAGGCCTATTTGGAGTAAATTAAAATTTAAGGATTATTCATAATTAAAACGAATATATTCCTAAAAGAAAGATGTAAACGTAACAGATAGATAAAATAGGTAAACGAATAAACACAAAATATGCACTCATAAATATCATTCAAACTGAAGATATGCGAAGAGACAATCCTTATAGGAGTGAACAATCTTAGCAGACTCAGCCCGAGTAAAAATCACACAGTTAAAAATTGCGGTGAAGCCTATGTAAATTATTGGATAAAATACAAATCAAATGAATGGCTACCAAAAACTATATAAATTTAGAATGAACGATAAAAGTGGCCCGAGCTCTACAGAACGCTCTTTAGACAAACACAAGATTCATGTTAGATAGTTGAACAAGTTTAGCACAGTTTTCACAAAATACGTTTGAATATGGAGCACACAAAGCGGAATCCAATCACATAACAAACCATGCTTTGTGACGACATCTATTAAAAAAAATAACAAAATGTCAGAGCTCCGATTTCTCATCTACTGATACTGTGGATATAACATTTGTGGTAGACAGTTGAAAATGCTGAAAATGAGTCCATCTGGGTGCATAAATCTTTTCTTGACAACTTGATTTTGTAAATAATTTGTGATACCACGATAATACGTGACACAATACTTGCTTCCTTTGCCCTTGGACAGTGATAGCACAAGGGCATCCTTCAGTTCAGGAGGCACATGCTCCTCAAACCACAAGCGTTGCACCAAGTGGTGCAGCGAAGTCACCAACCCAGGTCCACTGGTTGCAATACATCAGGCGCGATCCCGTCGGCATCGGCACACTTGCCATTTCGCAGCTGAGCAAGGGATCTCTGCGTCTCATCCAGTGTCGTCGTGTACGCCACACTCGCCCTCACATCGTGCTGGTTGGGGCAGTTCAATGGAGGTCAGTCGATCTCTGAACGGTTGTTTAAGAGACAGTCAGTACTTTTGCCAGATTTGCATTAGGTCTGCAGTCTGTGTGCAGTTAGCGCCTGAACTACCATCGATCAGGGTTCTCAGTGTCTCAAACCTCGGTCCATACGCCGCCTTCAACGAGTCAAAGGAATTCCTTGTGTTGGCGGCTTTCGGCGTAGCATTCTACGTACTTTGTCTTCTTCGTCCACCATACATTTTTAACGCGACGGAGCGCTGGAGTCCGTCGCCGTCGAATTCTACGAAAATCGCTCTCCTTCCCTAAGTGACTAGGGTCTGCCACATGTGTAGCAAATGCTGCATTCTTTTCAGACATCAATGCGCCAATTGTCGAATTATTCTAATCAAACCAGTCAGGCCGCTTAGATTTTGCGCACCCGATGGTCTCCTCGACAGCAGTTGTTGTCTGGTTGCGGATGTGGTGCCACAGATAGCCCACTATGGCTAGTAAGTCCACATCACACAGGGGTGCAGCTATCGTCTTCTCTAGCTCAATACCTTTCTCCACAGTACCGAAAGAGAGAATATTAAATTTACGCCGATGCACGGCGGGAGTGCAATAAACAGATTTACAAAAATATATGTACAATTTGATCCACGCCAATCTGTGATCAGTGCCACACTTA